TTCATAATACTATTTGTCTCGACTTCCAGATCTTTTTGCTTCTTTTGTAGATTAGCGTCCAACTCCGACAATTCCGATATTAATGTTCTTTGCTTCTCAAAGATTTTATCCAGTCCTTCCTCTACATGGAAATTTAAGCTGATTAGCATATCATGATTTACATAAATAAAATTTTAACTAAAAAACTTATGATCTTCAAAAGAACTCCTCTTCTGAAAAAGCTGATTCGCTTTCCTTGGAATCTTCTGCATCACTCGTTGCCATCTGTCAGTTGATCCATCATATCTAAGCTTATCTGGAACTCTTGTTATATTATTATTTTGAGCCAACTCTTTGTTGAATAAGTCTTTTTCAAAAGCTTGTTTGCATTCTTGCATTGTTAATAAATTCTTCTTAAATTTTGATTTCTTCAAATTCTTCAACATCATAATCATTGTCTTCTTCCTGTAGTTCAGTTTTATTGAACTTATTCTCAGGCAATGTTCCAAGAAGTGCAACAGGAGTCACAGTCTCAGAATTTACTGCATCTTCCCAAGCTTTTGAAATAAAAGTTTACGAGTTAACTCTCTTATTCTTACATGTTAAAACAGGGATCTGTAAACAATATGATTCCGAATTAAATACAAATTCCAATTATTACTATATATTATTTAGTAATTCTATCATAATATGGTTTTTGAAAAATGGTTAAATTCAATTCCATCACATATATAATTTGTACTATAGATAAATTAATATTAATTTACATATTTCAATTTGTATAGATGTTTGATGTAATTTGTATATTATATATATATATTAATAAAGTTTTGTATCTAATATCCTTTTATAATAAAAAAAAAAAGATATTTATATATAAACAATCAGTTAAGTAAGATAAGAACAATAGATATATATATTAATTTTTAACAAATAATAAGAAAAAAGATATGAAAAATTATATATATTGTAATTATTTATTAATAAAAAGTCTAAAAAAATTATTAAATATCAAGATATATTATTTAATATTTTTAAAAAAAACAAAGGTTTATTTATTTGAAGAAATAAAATCAATTCAAAAAATCTTAAAAAAAAAATAATTATATATAAATATAATTAATATTTTTATAAAATATTTATAATGTGATCAAAATTCATTTGATTTGTATTCAAGTAGTAGTTTTTAGAAGGAATTTAGAAATTATATAGAACAGTCCATCATTCCAGAAATAATCTTCCACAAATAATCCATGATACAGCAAAGATTTCTCAATAAATCTTTGTAACCAAAATGTGTTTAATAAAATAGAAGTGTTTTATTAAGACACTGAGACAAAAGTCAGACAATTACAAGAGTGAGTTATCAAGAACTAATTGAAAATTATATAGACAGCAACTACTTATATAGTGTTTTCTATCCTAGGCTATCTAGACTGTCTGGGTTATTTGGACTGTCTGGGCTGCCTAATCTATGTATCGCGATTTCATAATTTCATAGATCATAGGCCTTGTAGATCTTTTGGGCCTTCTGGACTGTTTGAACCTTCTAGGTTGTCTGATCTACATTACATATGCTATAAATAGATATTTATACTATAATAAAATAATAAATCCTATAGTTAAAAATAAACTAATAATAATTCGATAAAAATAAGTAAAATAAAACTAAGTTATCTATTTTATCACAATAATAAATATTATTCAAAAAAAAATATATTTATATTTATATATTAAATATGACCTATGGATCCATAGCACAATGATTAGTGCTCCATAGGTCTGATCACAAGATATAGATTCAAATTCTCCAAAAGGTTAATGTGATTCTCCTAATAAAAAGAAAGTAGCTGATAAAACCTGTATCTATTGGCATAACTGTAAATTAACTGATGTTTCCTAATATAAACACTGGTTATATGAAAGTTTGTAATCAGATTGAATGTCTAAAATTGAGTAGGATTATTCTTAACACAACTATATTATCAATTGGTAATAAGAAGAGTAGATCCCAAATCAGTAGTATACCACTGGTGAAGAAAGTTTATATGACCCAATAAGAGTGAATCAGAACTGCTAGTAAGTTTCAAGTCCAATCAAGTATATGGCTATACTTTCTTTTACAGACTTTACTATTGGGAGGCCTTGATGGAAGGAGAAATCTGTGGATCACTCCAAAAGATCAAAATCCAGAATTCAGGATACTGTAATTGATGACCTGATAACCAAACTACTCTTAATATAAATAAAATTATTCTGAGAAAAATTAAAACAGATTTGTGTATCTTTTTAGTTTAAGAAAGAGGTATGCAGGGGGGAGTTATTGATAAAAATTGTATCTCCTGATACTTTCTCCTAATAAAATAGTGATTATATATAGCATTATGTAAGATAGATATATAACTACTTACATATAGATAAATTTACTATAAACATATATGAATATCACTTATTAATATATATAAAACTATCAAAGCTACAAATAGGTAGATTATAGTAATGTAGAGTAATAAACTATATGGTGCTATAAAATAAGTAGCTGTAACAGTATAATTAATAAAAGATATGAGAAGTATTAAATATATAGCATAAGCTTTTAGAAAGCTGGTTAGATTAGAAAAATAATATTATTAATTTTTATTTTTATTATTTATACAATAACAATACTAACGGAGCCTTGGCATATTAGCTTTGACAAGTACCATTTAAATTAGTCAATAGCAATAAACTGATATGAAAGAAATTTGATATAGCCTAATATGTATCTAGAATAGTTTATAGATAGTAACTCTTGTAAAAAAAAGTAACATATATAAATTAAATAAAGCATATTAAGCAAGATCTAGCTAGTTGAATTAAAAAAATATATATTAAATATTTATATACCAAATATTTATTTATTATATAGGACCTGTGGGTCCATAGCACAGTGGTTAGTGCTCCACAGGTCAGATCACAAGATACCAGTTCAATCCCAGGTGAAGGCGGTTGAATAGAATTAATATGGTATCTGGTACCATAACCAATTATGTGCTGTTTCTCATATGAAACCATTCATATGCCGATCCGGTAAGGCGTTGAGATTGTGATTTCCTGTTTAAGGTGTCGCGGAGTGACGATCATCTGGTTGGCGTTACGATGATCATTTCAAGTTTGGTGAAAATCTCCAGTTCCACAAGAGGCCACTTCCTTTCCCTTTAGTCCACGAGACTATAAAAGAAATGATTTTTCACAGACCTAATTAGAGCCACAAGAAGCCTCCTTAATGGATATGATTAGTCCACGGCTGATCGTATTAGGATACGGTTCTTTGAGTTTCCATTCATCAGATGGTGGGTGGGACTAGAAGGTGCATATCCTGGTACATTAGCACTCCACCTATGCTATCAGGGCCCCGGTGTTGGTAATATAGGAGGATTGGAGAGCAATAAGCCGACCGGTGGGTTTATCCCTAGGTAGTTTCATTAAATAGTCAAAAGAGTTAAAAATTTGTATAAAACGAATTTGTAGTTTCTCGAGAACAAATATTTAATAAAACAAGGTGTACGCCAGTCGTTTAAAAAAAAAAAAAAAAAAAAAAAATTTAATGGTAAAAGACCAGTGGGTCAATAGCACAGTGGGTAGTGCTCTCTGATCTCCAAATGCATATCCCTAGTTCAATATCCACTAGGGGCAATCGCAAAAATTTACCTTCATTTGTGGGTTTACCGGATTGCCACAAATGTCATACCCAGATATCCGGATCCAGACCAAATTCAGTTAGGCTGCATGAAGATGGGACCTCTGGTCTTCCCGATAATCGTGAGCTGAAAACAGGTCGAAGCATGGAAGGTTGCATAAGGAAAGACTTCTGGTCTAACTCCGATAAAAGCCCACAAAAACTTCACCCCCACTGGTACGGCAGACTCCATAGCACAATGAATACTCTAGCCTAGGGCTATCCCAATCCGGCACTTGTTTAAAAGAGGATTATATCTTAAATATGTACTTGGTATAGTCTGAAGCCGCAGGTGGTGACAAGTAGTACAAGTACCTTCTATGAGGAACTAGACGAAAAGTATTTGGGTTATCCGGGTGTTCTAATCAATCCTGCAAGGTACAAGATCTCCGACAGCGAGCAGCCACAAGGTTACCAAATCAGGACTAGTAGGTTAGATGGGTTTAAACTAATGGCAGGACTTTCCATCCCCTGAATAGTTCCACCTGGCATGCGGGCCCCACTTCCATAGTGGTAAGTTGGTATAGCTGGGTTAAAACAGGTGGGAGGAACAGGTTAACTTAAATGGACCTTTGATGTAATGTAATTGGATATAAATAACTCAATAAAAACCAGTACATCTAGTACCTTTCACCTTAAAAAAAAAAAAAAAAAAATTTAATGGTAAAAGTTTTACTCAAATTGGATCATTAGTTATAGAAATATAAATTATAAATTATTAAAATTATATATAATATCTTATATTTTTAATTGTTTATAATTGATATCTCTATGACAAAAACTATACAACCAAAAACTCTTTCCCACACGAAATAAATTGCCTTTTTAGGAAATTTTTGAAAAGTGACAAGAAAAGTGAAAAGAAAAATGGGAGTCAGTCAAGCAACAACTTCAAGTGCGAGAAGAGGAAGAGGTACAAAAAGGAAAACAATAAATGCTACTAGAGAAGCAAGAGTTATGGCAACTACTATTACCAAGAGAGGGCCAGGCAGACCGAAAAGTTTGGACAAAGAAAAAAAGAGAAAAATACCAGTATGGGCAGCAAGTATGGATATGGGGAAAGGAAAAAACAAAGAAGACAAAGATGAAGAAGAAGAAGTAGAGGAAAAAATGCAAGAGGCAGTAGAAGAACAAGAAATGGAAATCGAAGAGGAAGGACTAGAGACAAGAGAAGAAAACGGAAATATCATAGGTAAAGATGGGTCCCTAAAGTATTTAGCATATAAAATTTACGTCCCTTTACATCCACGTTCCCTAGAGGACATAATTCCTAGCTCTTTATTTCAATAGGAACATAATTTTAGAAATGATTTGTATAGATGCTTAAAACTATAAAAAACTTTTATAGGTAGTTTTTTTTATTTCTTAATATAGAAATGAAAATTTTTAATAATAAGGGATATTTGAATTATGTTCTCACAAATAATTTAGGAACCCATCTTTACTCACAGGTTTGAGAAGTGAGCAATTGTTGTTATTAGCTTTGTTTATAAAGATAACTAGAATTTCTGATCTTTATGTATTGTCCTACTAGATTTCCATAAGGTATAGCATCTAAATATTTGGATATTAATAGTATACACTAATTTTTTAGTATATCTAGTCTAGTCATTAATAAGTAAACAATGTCAGATTTGATAATAATAATCATGCCAATCTTTTGAAGGGGGTAAACCATCTATCTTTTTTTTAAAAAATTGTGAAAAAGAAAACTTGTCAAAGTCCACTTTTTGGAGAAGGTTGCTGCTTTTTATATGATTCTTGAGAAAATAGAGTTGACTGGCCAGAGGAATAATGAGATAGAGTATAGTATTTTTTAGAAAGAAAGAGAGACCTAGGAAGAAAAACTTTAGAAAAAAGAAAAAACCTAACTTTGATAGAAGAGAGAAAAAAAGGAAAGAAAAGAAAAGAGGATAAAGAAAATAGATAGAAAGGAAGGAAGAGAAAAGAAAAGAGAAAAATGAAAGATTTGTAATCAAGAAAAAAGAAAGAGAAAGGAAAAAAGTAAAGAAAAAATAAACAACTCAAAAAGTTTTCTAAAAAGAAAATTTCAAGCATGAAGAGGAAGTGAAAAAAAGTTTTTTCTATAATTTAACTTAATTTTTATTAATACATAATAAAAAACATATTAAATATATAATTATAATAAAGCATTACAATGATAACTTTATCCTGCGAAATTAATAAAGTACTAATTATAGCTATATTAGATTCTGGTACTAATTGTAATATTATAGGCAGAGGTTTAGTATATAAACTAGGCTTAGAGATTGATACTTCCTATAAAGAAAAAAAAAATCATTATTTCCTTTTCTATCTGAAAAATTGTCAAACAATTTAACAATAAAAGATAGCATATCAATATTAGAAGAAATTTATAAAATAAATTATTCTTTCTGATTCAAAGACAATAAATGAAAACAGATAAAAGTTAATAATATTTTAGTTATTAGATTTACCATGGATCAGGAAAATATATCAGAAATAAAATTTCTTAATCATATTCTTATATTGCTTGATGAAACCGATATATTGTTCTGATATTTTATCCAATATATCAATAAAAAAGATACACAAGTCTAAAAAGAAGCATATCTATTCTAAAGCATAAAGTAAAAGGCAAAGGCAAAGTCTAATGGAGTGAAAATACTATCATGTCTAATTATCGAGCTTTATAATATCTCTGACATATTAATATTACACTTCGAAATATGATCATTAAATTGGGAAATTTACGTATCAACCAATCACATCATGGGTGGAATCAATATAGAAGATGCTATTATCATTTATATAGGCTGGAAAAACTTCTATTTTATATATTGCAATAAGAACCAACAATAACAAACTCAAAAAAATGTAAAGCAAGTGTTGGGTGGTAATCTGGGTTTATTAAAGATCAAATTAGTGTTGATAATTTTCCAGTTAGTAAGAAAGTTAAGATCAAAAATTTTACTAAAAAAAATTAGTAGTAGATAGTTTTCTACCTCACATATACATGACAATTAATCGTACTATTTTTATTTATATCAAATTATATATATTTTGTAAATAAATCAGAATTTAAACCAGCTATAAAAACATTATTTCTTGTATCATGCAGATAATCCTTGCTTTGTACTCTCCACATCTTTTAACATATGAATGTATAGATGATATGATAAATGTTAAATCCTTATAATCAGATATCTCAGATTTAAAGATAGCACATATCTATATTTGTTTTATGATTTTTTGGGTTCGATACATTGTTTCCAGAACCTAGCATCAGGATAGATATTTTGGTGATGACTTGTTCTTGTTACTATTATTGTCACAATCCAATTTATAATTAACAAAAGAAGATCCAAATTTCCGTTTTTGTTTAATTACAGTGTTATGGATATAAAATAATACTGTGTCGATTTTCTGTAACAATAGGGAGATTCTCATAAATTAAGAGATTCGATATAAAGACAATCACTTGCCCTTGTTTAGTGTGAGCAACCATCTTTAACTTGGAAAATACTAATTCTCCTTCTTCGAATTTTCCAAGTGGGCAAACCACATAGAGAGTTTCAATGATTCTTCAAATTGCTGTGAAATTGCTAGGTTCTTAATCAAACTAACTAATTACCATGACAAATTTAATGCTGAACTTATCTCATGCAATGAACACTTTACAGCAGAGATTCAAACAATCTTGATAATGTTAAATACTTCTACTATGAGATCAAACAAGTTCTTTAAAACTACTATAACAATTTTGATAGAGTCGCAACCGAATTTGAATCAATCAATGCTTCTATTGTAACTCTCCAAAATGAAATAAATCAGAGTTATGTGATGGTTCTAAGAACTGAAGAGATTGAATTTTTATCAACAAAGTGATGCAAATCAATCCGAAGCTTATGGTTCGAGTCAACGATCATTTTCAGATATTACTTCAGTAATTCTTTTTCCTTTCATGTTCGGAAAAAATAACAATATGTTGTGATCCATTAACACTAAATGAAGGCTATGTGGTTGTTAACTTTTTCTCTGGCTTCGAGCATACAGTATATGCAAGAAGGCGGGATGATATGTGTGGTATTGTAGCCGTTGATATTCTTAATCTTGGGGTGGGAAAACTTAGTAAAGATATAATAAAAAAAAGTAGCAACTTGGATAAAATAAGTTCTTGAATCAATAGCAAAAACATAGTTTCTAGCGGGAAGGAACACTCATTTTTATGGGTTAGGGCTTGAGTACTTCCTCCCTTTAAACTCGCTATTCCATTCATTTTATTATATATTTGTACGATGTCAACTCAATAAAATTTTTTATTTATAATAAACACAGTCTCTGTATAATAAAAATGACCGTCCAGTACTACGAACCTACACTTCAACATTTAAGGCAAGGACTTTGTCATCTTGATCGCGACGTTTGATAGTTACATATTCATAGTTATCCTCATAGAGCACGTACCAGAAGTTTCGCTTTAATTCTCTTACTTGTTTTGTGCGATGTCGGAAGTCAATGATGGCCCAATCTTTCAATGGAATGTCTGCATAATCACCACCTTCAAATCTTTGTGCGTGCTCCTTCAAACGATCTCCCTCGCGGGTGAGCTCAATACCCCAGCAAAAATTTTTGTCGACATAAAAATCTAAAAAACCAGCTGAGCCAAACACAGGACCAACATCAGCACTTATTGATGCTCCCGTTGGGACTACATTAGTGGCTGTACGATACCACTCCATCTGCCAACTCCTCTCAAATAAACGTGAATTGGGTTCAGCGCTTTTTCCAAGTGATTTAAACAACTTAGATGGGCTCATGCGTTCAATGGTTCGCAACAAAAAATCATCAAAGGATGTTACAGGAGATCTTGATCTTGTAGGGGAGGTGAACAGACGGTGGCTCAGGATAATTCGCATGATGGGTGCTGTAAATTGTATTTTTTCATCAACCACGGCAAGGACACCTGCCTTAATAAACCTCTTGGAAATAGGATCTGATTTATCATTAACAGAAAAGGGAGCCTTTATTTGACTGAAAAGTAGTATATTGCGAATAAATTCAGCTTCTTCTTCGTTTGGTTTCCAATCTTGGATCCAGTAAAAAGCACGAGAACAATCTTTTATACTATTTAGTAATTCTGATGAAGCAAGGTACTGCAACATATTCATTACTGTTGTATCTTCGTCAAAATTGCGAAAACGATTGCGAAATGTTGACAAAATTAATCGAAATAAACCAGGATGTCCGCCAGTGAGATCAAAGATTGCCCTCTGAATAGTTTCAGGGACTTTGAAGAGATCGCTACCCTGAGTTATGTGTAACTGAACATAATTTTCTGTAAGTCGACGGACCTCTTCCCATCCTAGAAGTAGGTCATTTAAACCTAAAGTATGACGAATTTCTACGGGTGTCATTTGAGGACCAAGTGCTGGATGATATGCGCCGAGTAAAACTATCCGAATGTTTTGAAGATTTGATTCGCTTGACAAAAGATCCTTCACTCCACCCCAAAAGAATGGAGCGCGATCACCATAGATAATCTGTATCTCATCGATGAACACATAAGTAGCCTTTTTGTGTTTACTGATTTCTGTCCAGGTTCTACCAACTTTCTCCTCCCAGAAATTTTCGAAGAGCCTCTCGTCGTAGATTGCTTTTTTACCATTTATACCAGCAAGACTAATGTATACACTATCATAATTGAGACTTTCGAAATAATCTCGGAGCACCTGTCCAAGAGTACTCTTGCCTGATGATGGAGGACTGCGTAAAAGGCAAATCTGCTTATTTTTCACAAAATCAACGATCTTCTTCAGCCTTTCAGGTGATATAACCATAAGACTATCCCGACCCTCTTCTGATTCATCAGGATCTTTAATATCAAATAAATCGTAAAAAGAAAAAGTGAATTTTAGAAAACAAAACATGATTACGAGTCAACGTAGCAAGCAATGTATTACTGTACATACATGTTCGTTTATCCTTCTTTTTGTTCCCACTTTCCTCGTCCCCTTCTTCTTTTCTCTTTGCTAATCAAATAAAAGAAATAAAAGAATGAGATAATCGCAAATTTCTTGTTCAAGGTAAAACATTGGGAGACACTTACCAGTAGTGGTGACAGGTGGTTGTACGATAATTCGGATGTTACTACCAGTAGATTCGTGAAAATATTTTCCAACAGTTTTGAGTGGAGATAACTCTACACCTTGGTATTGTTCTTTGATATTTTCGGCGTATATTTTGGTTTCTGGATCTTCACCTTCGGTAGGAATATTCACACCCCATAGTCTCAGTTCGCAAGCATCAACATTAACAAAGGTATTTTCCTTCTTCTTTTTGATGAGATACTTGAGACTCCCAACGTACATGTCTTCACTGATATCAACCGGGAAAGAATTCTTAATGGCATCACCTAAAACGATGCAAAAAATCTGGAAACTCATTGTAAATTATATTATTTGTAGAATTTTAAATACCATGATTTTTCCGGTATCAGATAACATTATACTGTATATATAAGTTACGAAGTCCCAAAAATGTTTAAAATAAAAAAAAAAATGTTTCAGTTCACGACGCGTAATCTGGCGTATTTATAAATTTACGTAATTGCCGTGTGATTAGTGTGATGTTAGTAATCTGGCGTATTTATAAATTTACGTAATTGCCGTGTGATTAGTATGATGTTGCAATCTCAAAAATCCCTCAGTTCACCCAAGCATTTAAATTTTACATTGATCTTATGTCTCTAGTGATAAGAGTTCCTGATAGTTAACTACGTAATCAAAAAAATAATCAGTGATATGTTGGAGAAAATTATATGTATAAATCTCATGTAATATAAAGTTTGTGGGAGGTAAGTATCAATGTTTTTAATTTTTTTGATTTTTTCTTACTACTGTATTGCCATTAATTTTAACATAATTTATCAATTTCATCAGGATTTGAAGAACCATTGTGTTATATACAGTATGGTGCAAAAAATGACAATTTTTTATAATTCTATTTTAATTAATAATTTAATAAATAATTGTTTTTATAATTTAACATTTTATTAATATATTTTTAAAGATATAGTAAAAATAAATCAATTGAAAATTTTTAAAATAAAATAATAATTTTTTAATATATTTTATTTTAAAGTTAATAATATCATTAAAAAATTTGATTTAAAAATAAGATTACAAAAAATTTCTTTAAAATTTTATTATTTCTAATTTTAATTTATTTTTTATTTTTTTTTTCACCTAATCAATTCATATCTTCAAGTTTATTAATTCAGCTTCGTGACTGTGTTACTTTAGTACACTACATATGATGTTATTCATACCTATACTACAGGTTAAACTTTTCTATCAATTATAAAACACCCGTCAATGACCAATGGTCTCTAGATGTGATTAAGGGAGATGAACAAGTTGCTCAATTAAAGAAAAATGTTCCTTGTTATTCTAAAATCTTAAAGCCAGCCCTTCATCAGGACTGTCACCCCAGCTTAACCTCTGTGGTCCTAAGGCAAAAAAATTTTTTATTTTTTTGAAAAAAAAAAAGAGGGAAGATAAAAGGAAAAGGAGAAGAGTTTGCATTAGTAAAATAAAAATCCATCAACACCAATCACCAGCCTAATAAGAGCCTTCTTTGATCTTGAGGAGAAAAGAAACCAGCACAAGAGGGAAGAGGAAAGACTTCAAGCCACTTCTTATTCAGGAAACACCTTAACACCTTATTCTTTCACCATTGTCCAATTATATCATCGGTTATAATGTGGTATGACATGGATACATGTGGGTACATGTTTTGTTTATATTTCTTTTACTTGTTGATCAACCAATCCAAGATTTTAGCCAATCACCATTCAGAAATTTCGGTGTAACAAAAAATTCAGGGTCAAACTGAAATAGGCAAAATTCCTCAAAAAAATCAAGAAAAATTGAATATGCTTGAAAGTGACTATCTACAGATATATATGAATGGTATAAAGGTTTATACACTTGAACAATAGGATATCATTAGCTTATCCACCTGTCCAACCAAGGTTTTCACTTATGGTAAACCCAAGGTTCCATGTTACTTGAGAGTATATTTGTCGATAAACCACCAGCTTATTCACCTACCTGGACAAAAGGTACTTACAGTGGACTCAAGATTCTTATGGCTCTTGGGAAATGCATTCACTAGTGGTTCACTTTTTGAAGTTTTTGACCTAAGGAAAGAATAGTGAAGGATATTTTTCTACAAGTTTCTTCTTCCCAGTAATGTGTTCTTGCCATAGATCAGATGGATAAAATTTTGTTTATTTTGTTACTAAAATATTCAAAGTTTTTTGAAAAAGAAAAGATAAATAAGTGGGAGAGGCACCTGCCTTCAGGAAATAATGTTTTTAAGGAAAGTATATAGACTTTATTATCAAGAATAAAAAATATTCTTGAGAATGTCTGTTTTTTTTAGGTTGGCAAGGGGATTAGCAGAAAGAGTTTTTTTAAATTTTTTTTAACTTTTAATTAATAATTTAAAATAATAATAATAATAATTTATTTAAAAAACTTTAATATTATATTATTTTAGTTTTAAAAAAGATATATTTGAAATTATATATATATATATATATATATAAGGTAAATAGACAATCAATATTATAGTTTTTATTAAATTATGATATTCGAATCATATACTTGCAGTCTTATATATTCTAATATTACTATTAACTATAAGTTTAACTATAATCAATTCACTTTCTTTTATTCAGATACTAATTTATATCTTATAGATAAGTTCATATTTAGATTTTATAGATTATTTTTTAACCGACATATGCTAATCTTCTATAGATTATCTTGATATATTATACTTTCAACTTATACAACTGTACAGTAGATAGGGTTCATATATATATATGTACTTCTTAATAAATGTTTTAAAAATTGTAGTTCTTAATTGATACAAGCTATCAAATCTAAGGATATTTAATATCAAGTAAAGTTTGATTTCATGAATTTTTTAGTAGACATTCCAAAGGAATTTGATTGATCTAAGCTATTAAATCTATAGTAGGGCTTCTAATGATACTATTTTGATACTACTTCAATATTAGTTCAATATTTAAATTTACTATAGATGGTACTATTTCGATACTACTTTGATATCGGTTTGATACTTTTTAGAATCCTAATCTAAAGATATAAATGTCAAGCATGTTGCAACTCCTATATATAGTAATATGACCTATACACTTATACTATATGTTAGTGTTTATATCAACAATCTCTTATTTGAAGTTTTATATTAATTGAATTATTATTTATTAATTTATATAAAAAAAACAAGTTTTTTTGTTATATATTATATACTGTATATAGTATATATATTAAATTTTCTTTTTATATTGTTATTGCTTTAAGAAATCATAATAAAATTATATTAATTTAGATCTATAATAAATAAAGTATTTTTATAAAATAAAATAAAATAGAAATTAAATTAAATTAAATTAAAAATTAAAAAAAATTAAAAATTAGATAATAATAAAAATTTATAATTTGATATATTAAAACTTTTAGTTTCTTCTTTAAAGATTTTAAAATTATTGATAAAAATAATTTTTTATTTTTAATAATTTAAGTTATTCAATAAATATTTTTTTTTTTTTTCAGGTAAAGAGCGCTAGCAGCGCATGAACTTTATTGAGTGATTTATATCCAATTACATGCCTA